CCGTCTCAAAAAAAAAAAAAAAAAAACATAATTGTCTTAACAGCAGGAGGTTCTTTAAATTCTTCACAGTGCATCCATTTCATGAAGACTCTGCTGTTCATTTAGGAATTCTCATGCAGCGGGTGTTTAGATAAAAATGTCTATAATTTATTATTTTTCTTAATTTAACTTTAAGTCCAGGGGTAGGTTTGTTACATAGCTAAACTTGTGTCATGGGGGTTTGTTGTAGATTATTTCATCATCCAGATATTAAACCTAGTACCCATTAGTTATTTTTCCTGATCCTCTCCCTCCTCCCACCCTCCACCCGTGATAGACCCCAGTGTGTGTTGTTTCCCTCTATGTGTCCATGTGTTCTCATCATTTAGCTCCCACTTGTGAGAACATGCACCGTTTGGTTTTCTATTCCTGTGTTAGTTTGCTAAAGATAATGGGCTCCAGCTGTATCCATGTTCCTGCAGAAGACATCATCTCTTTTTTTTTTTTTTTATGGCTACATAGTATTCCGTGGTGTATGTGTGTGTATACCACATTTTCTTTATTCAGTCCACCATTGGTGGGCGTTTAGGTTGATTCCACGTCTTTGCTATTGTGAATAGTGCCACAGTGAACATGTGCACGTATGTGTATGCTCGTGCATGCATGATGGGATTGCTGGGTTGAATGTAGTTCTGTTTTTAGATCTTTGAGGAATCACCACACCGTCTTCCAGGATGGTTGAACTAATTTACACTCCCACCAACAGTGTGTAAGTGTTCCTTTTTCTCCACAACCTCACCAGCATCTGTTATTTTTTTGACTCTCTAGTAATAACCAAAAGGGGCCAGGTGCGGTGGCTCACACCTGAAATCCCAGCACTTTGGGAGGCTGAGGCGGGTGGATCACCTGAGGCCAGGAGTTCAAGACCAGCCTGACCAACATGGTGAAACCCTGTCTCTACTAAAAATGCAAAATTAGCTGGGCATAGTGGCACATGCCTGTCATCCCAGCTACTCGAGAGGCTGCGGCTGGAGAATCACTTGAACCCGGGAGGTGGAGGTTGCAGTGAGCCAAGATCATGCCATTGTACTTCAGCCTAGGCAACAAGAGCAAAATTCCGTCTCAAAAAGATAATAATAATAATTTAAAAATAATAGCCAGCCGGGCACGGTGGCTCACGCCTGTAATCCCAGCACTTTGGGAGGCCAAGGCAGGTGGATCACGAGGTCAGGAGATCAAGACCATCCTAGCTAACATGGTGAAACCCCATCTCTACTAAAAATACAAAAAAATTAGTGGGGCATGGTGGCAGGCGCCTGTAGTCCCAGCTATTCGGGAGGCTGAGGCAGGAGAATGGCGTGAACCAGGGAGGCAGAAGTTGCAGTGAGCCGAGATTGCGCCACTGCACTCCAGCCTGGGTGACAGAGCGAGACTCCATCTAAACTAATAATAATAATAATAATAGCCAAAAGATGGCTATAATGTAGCTAAGACCTATGAGCAGAACTTCCTGTCATCAGAGAGGCAGGAGCAAATTCTGATTATACTACTTGTTGTTAAATACTCCATTTCTTTTGTAGTAAGCATCACATGATATATATATATTTTATGATAGAATGTCACACAGTGATGCTTAGGGACTAAGGAGTAAAACATGTTGTCCAGTCCACCATCACTCACTGTCTCCATCAGGAACTACTGTTCATTCTCTTCAATGGAAGAAAAATCATAAAAATCATAACTTAATTTTAGAAAACGTTTAGTGAATATTTTGTTGTGATATTCTGTTTTGCAAATTTGTATATTTGTATACTGTATGTCTTCATTTCCTTTTTAGGCTGGTAAACAGAGATAACTTGAGTTTTTGCTTTCTCATTGGAGCATTCTCTCACTGAAGACACATACAGTTTTTCTGTGTTATAAAGAATCCGCATTGGCTGCTTGGGAGCAGGCCAACTGTACTACAGCTGTGTGAGGATTCCTCCAGGTTGGGCAATTTGAAGCATGATTACTGGCTTAATAATGATGTTTCTGAGGAAGTTCAGACACCGCACTTACTAAAAAATACTTTAAATCAACTATCTTAACCATGCTCAGACAGCTGAAGTAAACGGTGGACAAAGAACTAAAGGAAAGTAGGACAACAGTGTTTCAATGAGTATCAGTAAAGACATAGAAATTATTAAAAAGAAGTGAAATAGAAGTTTTGGAGCTGAAAAGTATAATATGAAAATTTCAGCTATAAAGTTTCAAGAGTAGATTGACAGAATACAGAATTAGCTAACTTTAGGTTAATTGAAATTATTTAATCTGAGCAGAAGAAAGTGAAGAAAAATAAAATGTAAGAAAGCTTTGGGACACCATGAAGCATAGGCATGTATGCTTAATAAAAATTTTCGAAGAAAAAGAGAAAGCAAAAGGCAGAAAGAATATTTGAAGAAATAAGAACTGAAACCTCCGAAATATATAAAGAGCATGAATCTGTATACCTAGGAAACTCAGTGAACTTTAATTGTGATAAACTTATAGAGATCCAGAGCAATACACATAATCAAACTGTGGAAGGAAAAAGAATCATGGTAGTAGCAACACAGAAATGATTTGTCATGTACAGTGATCCTCAAAAAGATTAACAGCCAAATTCTCATCAGAAACTATGGAGGCTGGAAATTAGTGGAATGACATATTCAAAGTTTGAAAGGAAGAACTATCCAGCAGGAATTCAATATCAGGCAAATTATCCTTCAGAATTGACAGTGAAATTGAGATCCCCAGATAAACAAGAGCTGAGGAAGTTTGCATTAGTGGACTTACCTGCATGAAATCTTAAAGTCTTTTAGGCTGAAATAAAAGGACACCAGCAGTACCTTAATGCCGTAAGAACAAATTAATACAGGTAAAATACCTACATAGGTATAAATATAAAAGCCAATATTACTGGTTTTTTAAAAACCTTTTTAATATGATTTAAAAGGCATGTATAAAACAATAATTGTAAATCTGTTACTGGCTATAAAATGCATAGAGAAGTAATTTTTGATGGTATGAAGAGAACCAGCCAGAGCTGTATAGAAACAGAAGTTGTTATGCAATTGAAGCTAACTTAGCATCAATTGAAACTTAATTATTACCAGCTTCTGACGTAAATTTTAATCCCCAGGGCAACCATTAAGAAAATAGCAAAAATGTAAAGAAGGGAACCGAAATAATATACACACACAAACTTATACACACAAGGAAGGAAGTAAGGGAATAATTACAAAACAAAAAAGATAGGCATATAAAAAATAAGTAGCAAAATGGTAAAAGTAGTTCTTTTATCAGTAGTTACTTTTATCTGACTCTGAAGTGGATTAAATTCTCCATTAAAAGGCACTTATTGGAGGAATAATTTTTTAAAACTATGATTTCACTATATGATGTTTATAAAAGACTTCCTTTAGAGCTAAAAACACAAATAGGCTGGAAAGTATAATAAAGGGATGTGAAAAGGTATTTCATGCAAATATTAAACCTAGCTGGATAGCTATACAGATAGCAGACCAAATAAACTTTAAGTCAAAAATTGATAGGCCGGGCGCGGTGGCTCAAGCCTGTAATCCAAGCAATTTGGCAGGCCGAGGTGGGCGGATCACAAGGTCAGGAGATCAAGACCATCCTGGCTAACCCGGTGAAACCCTATCTCTACTAAAAAATACAAAAAACTAGCCGGGCGAGGTGGCAGGTGCCTGTAGTCCCAGCTGCTAGGGAGGCTGAGGCAGGAGAATGGCGTGAACCCGGGAGGCGGAGCTTGCAGTGAGCTGAGATCCGGCCACTGCACTCCTGCCTGGGCGACAGAGCAAGAT